GCATAGAAGCGGTTGATATACTTGATTTGAATACTTCACGAAAGCTTCTTTTGTGGGCCTACACACTCTTGCATGGTCAATGCATGGGTGTCTCGTCCGCGGTAAAGTACTGTGANAGCTGAAGTCCAACTCCTTCGGTTTTCTTCACCCCCCCCCCCCCCGACCTATTATTCTTCTAAACAGATGAAAAGCTCTGGGGTGTTGTATGTGATAAGGAATCGTAGGGAACATGATTATGACCAAATTCTGACATTTTCAAAAAAAATCTATTCTGACTCAAGCTTTTAGAAAAGAACTTCCTTGAAGAAGTTTTAATTCTTTTAAACATTCTGATTTAACGGGTATGGGGCTTATATTCAAAATAAAGGAATTAGAGGTTCATGCAGACGTCTACCCTGTAAATTCTATTTACTACTACCAAACAGGATTAATAGCTCATGAGCTTAAAGTAAGCTATAAGCTCCGTAATAAGCTCTACCAAACACACACACACACACACACTCACAAAATCTAAGGACGTAATATATTTGTTCTGCTCACGTTGCAGTCAAGGATGAAAAAAGGAACAGGAAGTTCTTTCCCTTCGCCTGCAGCTGCTACCACGACTTCTCAGTCAGGTCATTCCCACATTTTTGCATTTTTTCCTGGATAGCCAACACCAACTTTTTTTAATAGCGTGTTCATTCCAAAGACTTGAATTGTAGGTTGTGGAAAAGATGGAGGAGAATTAGAGGCTTCTCCTCTACTGACTACCGTCTCTGCTTTGTCAACTGCACCCGACTGTACTCACATGACACTTCTAGCTTCACCCGAGATTGAGAATAGAGATGGTTCTCGGAATACGCCTGCTACCTCATCTTTGCCTAAGTAGGGTTTTCTTCAGGTTAGCTTTTTTTACATTGTTACATCTTTTATCCTAATTAAGGTGTACCACCAAAATGTGATTATTAACTGTGTAGCTGAGTGATGTATGCTAACATCCTAAGATAAATACTCCCTCCGTCCATTAATTTCTTTCCCACTTTCCTTTTTGGGCCGTCCAAAAATTTCTTTCCCGTTTCCTCTTTTGGCAAAAAACTTTTAATGAATATACCATCATACCCCTACTTTTTATCTACACTATTCACTTTATTCCATCACATCAAGGGCAATACACGGAAAGTCTTTACACTTTTTAACTTTTCTTAATCTCCATGCCAAATCAAAACGGGAAAGATGAGTTGAAATAGATGATGCTTTTGATTAGTTGAACTGTCTATGGGTTTGCTTAGTTCGATTGGAGGGGAGGGAAATGAATCCCCTCCATTTTGGTCCAAGATGTTCTTTATATGTTGGACTGAAAATGCCTCCTCCTAATTAACATTTGGAGGAGAGGGAAGCTTAGGGAAAATGTTGGCTAAATACTCTACTTTAAATAACATTTTGGAATATTTAGACTTATAATCTTCCAGTTTAAAAGTTACTTTTCCCATTAACAAAGTACTCCCTCTGTCCCTAAATAAACTTCATAGTCACTATTCAAAGGGTCAAACTATATCATCTTTTTTTACTTGTATTTACCTGATTTTTTTGTTACAATAAAAGTCTTGTCATTGCGTGCTTTGTAGAACACTTTATATAGTTTTTAAGTGCATTTAAATTTTATTTTTAAATTTAGCCAAATATTTAAATAAATTAAATTGAAAATAACTTCGGTCAAACATCCTAAATCAAAATGTGAAGCTTCTTAAGGGGGACGCAGGGAGCATTTACTGAGCCAATAAATAGTCAGGTGAACTAATATAGGGAGTGTCATACTTTTTTAGTACCCATTTTTGTGGGGGTTCCAACTTTGCTGCTGATGAGTTGAATTATCTAAGGGTGTGTTTGGTTGGACGAAATGAATTCCTATCCTTTTGTTTCAAAATGATTTTTTATATGTTGGACAGAA